ATTAATTAAATATATTGTTAATAAATGTTAGATCAAGCGAGTAAAAAGAGAGAGAAAATGGATTTAGAACTAACGGCAATGGTTCGAGTTAATTATATAAAATTATTCTATCGATTTATCATAAAAAAAGAAATCTAGTTGTGATGAATTCTCATGAAACGGAAATTCATTCTCGGTGTTTTACAAAAATAAAGAAGAAAAATAGAATAAGAATAAGAATAAAAAAAAGAAGGATAAGAAGATAGTCCGAATTAACGACGATCTACAAACCACTGTTACTCTTCTTCATTGGTGTGTAACGTCGAGATCGCGAGCCTGCTAATCATCCAATCGCGTAATTATATGACCGGCAGTGTACGTCGAACGATAATTAACGATCGACCACACCGCGACGGAATAACGGATCATTTCTCGCTTTCTATGTATACACATAAAACACACATACGTATATATATATATATATATATATATATATATATATATATATATATATATAAATACAACTATCACACACACAAAGTCTTTATCTTTAATTTTCTCCTTAGATTTTTGTCCTAACGAGTTTGATAAAACGATGGCAATGACCATCGTACTAAATAAAATTGTGAAAATAATTTAACCACGCTTGTGTTGGTTCTCCTTCAGTATTATTAGAAATTACTGATTAGAAATATTATTGTGATATATTGTACGTATTATAATTAAATTCTAATTAGACCTTTGTGTGATTTATTTTCCCTTTGGTATTTATCATTATTTTCATTGCTAATTAATAGAAGTATTTGTGTGTGTGTGTGTGATGATGATGATTAGGAAATTGAACTAAAAAAACAAAAAAAAACACAACAACAATTAAGAATTTTAATTCGATCGTATAAATGTAATTTTCATTGAAAAAAAAAAGAAAAATTCATTGAGTAATCAATAAAATGATGAGAACGATATTAATAAATTCGTATTATTCGTGATATTTATCTATTTAGGTTTCAATGTAAAAAATTCACGCGTTTATTAATTTTAAATCAATTTTTTTAAGATTTAAAGAATTGACGCGTGTATTTAGAGATTTAGAAAATGGAATGATTGATTAAGGGATCGATCGATGAAATATTTTGCAATTTTTGTTTTCTTTTTATTGAAGGAATAAAAATAGGATGGTTCGTCGATGATGATGATGATGATGATCAAAAACGTACTTCACCGTTTTCCATAGGCGTAGACCTGGAGTAAATGCTCGTACAAATGACTTCATCGTCGGTTATGTAAACCGGCTTACCAGGCACAGGTGGTACCGAATATCTCGTCCAACATTCCTCATCACTCGGTGCATAATACTGCCAAGGTTCAAAGTTCACGTTATCTATCGATCTCTCGAGTATCCACGCTGCTGGTCTTGGTGAATTCGCAGCTTTCACGATCACGTATTCAATTTGATAAACCTGAAACAAATATTGATTAGACAAATTTCAATATTTATTCTCGCATAAAGAAATAATTAGATTATTTTTAATCTTCAATTTTTATCAATAAATTAATAATTAATTGAATATTAGTAATAATTAATAATTATTTATTTCATATCATAAACACACACACACACACTATTACTATCCATTCTATTTCATTCGTGTTTCTTTTTCTTATTAAAACAATTATGTTAAAATTAAAAAAAAAACATTTCAAATAACAGTAGAAATGTAACATAAAATGGATGAAGTAAAAAAAGATGTAATATGATCGATGACAGAATTCAACCCTTAGGGGATCGTTGACAATTTGTTTGTTTGTTAAAAGTTGAATCTTTGTTTATTGGATTTTGTCGTCATTCTAGTAGTATTAGTTTGTTGTCGTAGTCGTTACACCAACATTGTGTGAGAGAGAGAGAGAGAGAGAGAGAGAGACCAAGTAGACGCCCACTTTCGGACCATAAAGACAGATCGCATGTTCGCGATACTAAGAGAACCCGGCTACGTTTCCTTCTAAGGACTTCGTCCGGAACGTCTCGTTGCAAGTCCCGAGGAAGCCAACTTCAATTATCCGGACTCCCTTTCGCTTACGTACCCACGTTTACTCGCGTATTTGTATCGATTCGATATTTATCTTTTCAACTTTCCACACATACAAATATATATATACTTGTATACTTATAATAATATAATTTTTCTCTTTTCTTTGTTTTTTGGCAAAATATTTCGCACATCCCTGCAAAAGTATTCCTTTTATTTTTATTATTATTTTCTTTTTTTTTTTTTTTTACTCATTTATTTCTTCCTTCTCCTTCTTCATTTTTTTTTCTTTTTACGTAAGGGTTGAATAGGATATTATTAAAGAATAAATCATTATTGCATTGTTAATATTTATTTATCAAAGCGTCCATTTATTTTAATAATTTATTCCTATTTTTGTAGGGCTCAAGTTTTTATATTAAATTGTGTGTGTGTGTGTGTTAGTATATTTCGGGTGTCCTAATTTTTATTTACAAGTTAAAAAAGAACTGATACATTCGCGAAGAGAACGATTGAAGTAGAATTTTTGTAATGATTTAAATGATACGAATAGAAAAAAATAATTCAATACATATATTAAATATAATTGAAAAAAAAAAAAAGAAAGAAAACGAACGTGAACGTCAACATAAATCATTCTGATGTATAATTTATTCTAAATATTATTACACGTTTCATCGGGTAAATCTAATATATCTATCACAAGTAAGTTAATCATAGCACAAGACCTGAGAGAGAGAGATGATATTCTCGAGGAAGTTTAGAAACATACCACCTGGTTCTATCACTTAACAGTTGCGTTCTCTCGAAAAGATCAAATATTTATCTCAAGGTTATTCCGTATGTTTCTTAACTTATCTTGTACAAACTATTCCTGATATGTAGGGTGATAGGGGTCAAGTTCTTCAAAAATTCTACATTTTATCTACATTTTTATCCTTTTCTCGTAGATTTTCATAATTTTACATGAAATATTTTCTACAAAAGTTTTCAATTATTTTCTATCATTTGATTAAAATTAATCTTTTTTTTTTACATTTAAAGACGAATTTTTTTCTCAACAAAAAATTGGCATACATCAAAAGAAATAATTAGCCCCTTTTTTCTTTTTGTCTCTCTCTCTCTCTCTCTTTTTCTATGAGTACGTGTGTGTGTCATACATTCTTAGGAGAAGTATAGTTAGTCTCGTCAGGAATCGACCTAGAAGAAGGCTCCCACGATCGAGAGAGGCGACTGTTAGTCGCCTTCAACTCGTGCAGCCTTGTAAGGGCGCGTCCAGTATTAGCATCGGATGACAGAAATGGCTTTATAGTCGAGTATCAAACGATCGATCAACAACAACAACCATAAAAAAAAAACCTTTCTATAATTCTTCTTATATTTCTTTCAAAGTTTTAATCAATTTATTCAAATATTAAATAATTATAATATCATACAAAAAAAAAAACGTATATATATATATATTTGTTTAATGAATAATTCATATGTCAATTGAATTTGTTAATATTACGATGAATAATAATTATAAGAAATAAAATTTTGGTAGATTTAATTAATTCATGACTCGATTAATTGCAATTGTATTAAAGAGTTAGAAGAATCGCAAAGTATCAAGAGAAGTTCTTTACGTAAACCGTCTGGCAACACTTTCCAGCCCTGAGAAACGAGTCCCTGAGACTGAACAGGGACACTTGGAGAACCTTAACGGCTTCAGGAACCGGCCGTCCGGTAAATTTTCTTGCCGCTTTCTACCTTCTTCACACACGCACCCCATTTACGGATCTTCCCAGATACCGTGCAACGCCAATTTATTAGTACTGCCCTTTTCTCTTTAAGCAAGTTCTTAAGGGTATTCTGGATTACTGTCCTTTAAAGGGAAGACGATCCTTTCTTTCATTTTATTTTCCTCATTCTTCTGCGTTTTTTTTCTTTTTCTTATTTTTATCAAATTATTTTCATATGAAAATCGTGACTTAAATCGTTGGTAATTGAATCGTTTAAACGAAACTTTCTAAATATTTCTTTCTTTTTCACGTTTAATTTTGATCACACAAATATAATCCGTCAGGTTATTATTACACGTATTTGAAAGATGAGATTAAAAGATGATAATTCGATTCGTAGCAATATTTCTTTTAATCTTCAACGAAATTCATCATACCATTCGTTCTCCCTAGTTGAAACATAATCGGATTAAATCCTCGCGAGGAGAGTTATCCTAAATCCAGTTTCGTTTCCATCTATGGAACAAGATTGTCGACTATTGAGGATTAATAATCGGACGACTAACATTTCTCGAGTGATATTCTACAAAGAAATATCTTGACAATAATTAGCCGTGATTAATAAAAATTGAATCACGTTTTAAAATGAAATCGCCAAAAATTGGTTTTGTTATCAACGAAGTGATGAAAATAAATTCACTTCGAAATTGCGACGATTGAAAATAAATTGCTTTTCGGTTTGATATAAAAAAAACACACACACACACATACACACATAAAAAAAATCAATCGTGGCATTTGGCCAACGCTAAAATTAATCCCGTAATTCTTCCTTCTCTTCTTCCCCCTCTCATCCCACCGAAAGAAAAGAAAAAATAGAAAAATTCGTAAGAAATATAATTGAATAGATTGCAAATGAAAAAAAAATGCGTTAATAAAAATTCACACAATTTCGAAAAAAAGAAAAAAGAAAATACAAAAATACGTTCAAGAAAATAATTGAAATGATTTGCAAATGAAGAGATATTCATTAATGACAATTACAAGTAATATTTGCGAATGTATTATAATAAAATAAATAAACAATTGATGGGAATCTGTTTTATTTTTGTATATAATAGAATAATGAAATTAATATAATAGAATATAATCGTTCGTAGAATCATCGTCACTCAACATGAAGATGAAAAATCAAAAAGGTTCGAGTTGTGTTTAGTGAGAGACACCGCGCCGTCTGCCTCAGAGGATTCCAAATCCTGGTCTTCTGCCAGCACACTATACGATTTCTTGGCTCGTGTATCCTCTCTCTTTCTCTCTCATTTTCATCTCTCGGTTTTCCAAAGTGTTCACTCTCATCTCGGCAAGTCGTTCGTGCACGTGCCATAACGCGTTTTAAACTGGGATACTCGTTTGATAAGTGTAACCGAGTTAAATTAGCTTGGCCGTTCACGAGGAAGTAACCAACCCAAAGACGCGATTTATTATTTACATACACACCACTCATACACGCGCGCGAATAATTCTCTAACTTTTACCGGAAGTGCACGAGCTTGATGAAATCAAAAAAGAAGTCCCTCTCTAGTCAGTAAAAATAAAAAAAAAAATAGATTACGTAAAAATTATGATCAATTTGGTACCGTTTTCATTGAATTTATTTTAACTTAATTATAGAAAGACGAATAATTGTTTATATTATATATTTAAATAAACCGGGGGCTGTCTCTCGTATAATATAAACCCGTTTATTTTGAAAATAGTGCAAATCCATTTTCTATTATCTCGAGAAAATTAAAGGTTTGCATATTACCGGCCAATTTTAAATTGGACAAAGCGCGTTTGCATTTTAACAAAAATATTAAATACTAACTGTTGTGTTATATAAATAAAAAGTTTACATTAAATCTAAGCATAAATTACGTGATATCTCATTTTCTTTTTAAAAATGGACTTGCACCATTCTCAAAATAAACGGTCCATATTATTATTATATCGTAAAATTATAATATTATTAATTATATTTATTGATCGTTTTTTTTTTTTTTAGAAATGATAAGATAATAATTTGAAGGAATATAATTGAAGGATTAAAATGTATGTCTGTCGTACTAAGGAGAACATTTT